ATCTCCAATACATACCTGCGAGCAGAGGGATCGGTATCGTCTTCCATACACTTCTTTACGAAGCGAATGAGGAGGCACGTGGCATAGCTGGAACGTACAGAGCCGCGCATGAGCGTCTGCACCAGTTTGGACACAGCCAGACGATCCTTCTCCTTGAGCTTATACAATAGACCCAGGGCATGGTATTGAACCTGTATACACGCGAGACAATGTGCAAAGAAGTCTTAGAGGGATGCGTGCTTCTGTACGGTAGTGTGTTAAAGATATGGACCATTTCCCTGCGTACACGCTGGCTAAGGTATCGAACGAACGCCGAAATACCATCGCATCTATCCACGGAACTCTTATCCCACATGTGCGTACTATGCTAATCCCATTCCAACCCGCATTGACACGCCCATTCCCAACCGCCTTGACACACCCACCATGATATTCTTGTTCTGGATCGCCTCCTGGACCTCGTTAGACCATCTCTTTACCACATCGAAGGTGGCCTTCTGCTGCAACAGATGCACGCTCGACACCAGCGCCGCACTGGCCACGGCCGGGTTTCTGTCCACAATACTCTGCTTGAGGTATCGCTCGATCGCCTGAATCATCGTCGCGTCCGTGATACGGCACAGGGCACGGATAGCCGAGGCTCGGTACGAGTCTTCCTTGCCCGTCATGTCTTTGGTCAGAGAGGAGGTGACGATGATCACATCCTCGGCCATGGGGGCGAGTTCCTTGATGGTTAGGTACACCAGCTTACGCATAGAAGACTGTATGTCGGGGTAGGTATATGGGCCATGCAGGGTGCGATGAGTGACAAGGTGCTACAGATCACATACACGTGAGACCGAATGTACAATGTGGTATTTGCACGTCGAGTGTTTGTTGCCAGTCGTGTCCATGGTGAGTGTCGACGCGACGATAATCATACAAACGTCAACGGAGACCCGTTCATACATGGACAGACACACCAGCACACGCATGGATGTCGATGTACTACGGGGAATGCACTGACATCAGCCGAGTGTCAAGGGAACTGCCTGTGACATCTAAGGTTGTATAAGTACTCTTTACCCGTCAAGCCTTTGGTATGATCCAGTGCACAGCTAAAAACGTATAGTCTACAATACGTACTGCGCAGTACCATAGGGAATACAACGGCTCATGCTGGATGGTGATCTATAGTAAAGTATAGAAGCCGAGGCAGAAGCTGGTACATGTTAAATGAGTACCCCATACGCACAAAGCAAGAAGAAGAAGCCAAAAGATAGACAAGGAATAGGCGCACACAATGTAACAACAAGAAGGCCCGATACGAATAAGGAATCTGCACGTACAGATGTCCTCCCATCGGCTGGTATGTAAGACCCAACAGTGTCTGTGTCTGTGTATGCCTGGACATGCGTGAGAAAGTACTATGCCAGGCATCGCTGCAGCGCATGACAATTCAATCCATGCAATAACACATAGACATCGCGTATGCACATAAATCGATGACACGTCCAACGGTAGGTAAGAGTATGCATACTTACATCTTTGTGCTGGAACAGACGCGTCATCGCAAAGAAAGCCGAGGTGGCTTCCTTAGTACTGAACACATCACCCTGGTAGATGATATACAATATTTTGGACAGCACGAAGCAGCATTTGCGCGGCTGGATGGGTGTAGCATTGAAGATACGCGACTCCTGAGCAACCGACGCCTTCTCTAGGTTGGAGAAGGGGTTGTTGTCCCCTGACAAGATATGGTAGTAAAGCAGTGTTAGAATATGAGGGATAAAGCTAGAACAGTGACATACATGTTGATTTTATTGACTTTGGTGACACGTACAGTTCGAAATGCGTTATGCTAGTGAAGTCCAACTACAATTACAAGTATGTTTTCATTGTAAACAATGGAACACTTGAAAGACATACTCAGCCGTGCTTCATAAGTAAATGTTATATTGTATCGGGAGCAGTTAACTATCGATCCATAAACCCCAGCATGCAAGAAACCTACAGTACAAGCAATATACATATATCCATAAAAACATACAGAAATACATATACACACTCAA